ACAGTGGTTAAGAATCCGCCTGTAATGCAGGGAACATGGGTTCAAGCCCTGGTCCGGGAAGATCCCACATGCCGCGGAGCAACGAAGCCCGTGCACCACAACGACTGAGCCTATGAGCTGCAACTACTGAAGCCTGTGCGCCTAGAGCCTGTGCTCCACAAGAGAAGCCACTGCAATGAGAAGCCCTCGCACTGTAACAAAGAGTAGCCCCTGCTCGCCGCAAATAGAGAAAGCCTGCAGACAGCAACGAAGACCCAACTCAGCCAAAAATTAATTAATTACTTAATTAATTTTAAAAAATTAAAAGAAAGAAATCAGAAAGACAACTTGTTTGATGGCTGCATATAGAACTACAATGGAAACCAGATGTAGAAAGATTAATGAGAAAGGAAAATTGTTCTGGAAAGAAATCCTATTCATTTTCAATACTATATTTCTCTGGAATTTGAGTTTATGATACTAGACATAACACACTATACTATGTATTGTAGAAAAGGATGCTCCTAGTAAACATTGGTGTAAGGATTCTTATTTGATAAGATAAATGTTTCTATAATGCCATTCTGTTTGTGGCTTGCTTCTTTACTTTTATGTTCTGCTTTAGTAAATCTTTACCAGTGTTATAACTTAAAATCTCTTCACAGACAACTCACAGGAAGAGTTTCACTAAGAATCGATGTAAAAACATACCCCAAGTGATTAAAGACAGTTTTGAGACTATGAAATAGAAAACATACATGACAAATAGAAAAGCAATTTAAAGTAAATTTCCCCCAAAAAATGATATTTCAAAATTTACTTTACACCATAAGAGGGAAGGAAAGGCAAAACAAACAAAACAAAAAAGTGAACTCTAATATATGCCTTCTCTGAGTGCATAGGTAAGCTGTTCTGATGTCCCCAGGATTTAGCACACAGAAGTAACCCTTACTACTTTTTTATGGTATTCAAAGAGCCTGTAATAAATTATCTTCCATATGATTATTAACAAATGTATTTTTCAATCACTTACTAAATGTATTAATTCTTTTTTTTTTTTTTTTTTTTTTGCGGTACGCGGGCCTCTCACTGTTGTGGCCTCTCCCGTTGCAGAGCCTAAGGCTCCGGACGCGCAGGCTTAGCGGCCATGGCTCACGGACCTAGCCACTCTGCGGCATGTGGGATCTTCCCGGACCGCGGCACGAACCCGTGTCCCCTGCATCAGCAGGCGGACTCTCAACCACTGCGCCACCAGGGAAGCCCTGTATTAATTCTTTTTTTTTTTGTATTAATTCTTAATAAAGAATCACATAGATTTGTCTTCTGTAAATCCTTGTTTCTGATTTATCCATCTCAAAGTTAAAATACCCCTGAATTGAGAATGCAGTTTGGGCTGAGGGAGAGGCAGGAAGATGACATTGGGAAGTATACAAGTTATTTTCCACAGTATTGGTAATTTTCTAATTATTTGAATAGGTGGTGAATTCACTGGGGCTTATTTTAATATGCTTAATAATTTACATTTACTATATATATTATTTTATATGTATCAAATATCACATAATAAAGGTGTTTTCAAAGAACATATGTAGTATTTTCCCTTTTAAAAGCTACATTACAAAATAGAAGCTTTTCTTCTTTCATTTAACTCTCTTTTTTCCTCTCCAACTATTTTAATAGTTATTGATTCAGATGTTCAACATACACTTAGTTAGCAACTATTATATGCCAGACTTGGTTGTAAGTATTGAGAGTATAAGCAAACGTAAGTGTAACTAACTAAATAACTAACTAAATAAAACTATGGTCCCTGCCTGCATGTGGGTTATAGTTTAGTTGTGAGAATGTAAAGGGCAGAGCTATGTGTAATTCTTTGCAAGCTCGGTACTCCCAGAGTACCTTGCCCAGGTAAGAACCTCAATAATGTTCACTGATGATATTGATGATGCTTGCACCACCTATAGATCTTTTTTATGGGTAGAAGATTCTTTATGTTGTAATCAGATCATTTTACCATTTAAAATAGACTTCATCCAGCAACAAAGAAATCTGTCATACTGGATTCCTAAAGGCCACTTGGAATTACATCCTTTTGGGAAATCTCAGCAACCTTGTCTTCCTGAAATAATAATCATTGCAACAAGTTTCCAGGTAGAGGTAAAGAGTTGTAGACACTTGTAAATTTTGTTTGGTATCCAGTTATACCATCATTAATTATTCACACAGAGAAGAACTCTCAAATGACAGCTTGTGTTCCCTCTCTGCACCTTTTAAACATACAAGTTTTACACAAATTCATAAATCTCAGGTTCCAGATGACAGGGTTTCTCTTTATCAGTCTTTCTGCAATAAAATTTAGCAAACCTGATGTTAATTAGGAAGAGCAGCACAAGGGAAGTAATACCAAAAAACCCACTGGTAAACTGTTCTGAAAATAACTCAGGCAATCACCACTCATTCTCTTCAATGAAAATACTTTTTCAAGATAATAAACAAACTTTGATCAAAACATCAATTGTACTAAATCTCACAGGAAAATGTTCTGTGAAAAATCTTATTTACGTACTCCAGGTATGTAATTGTATATATTTAATTGTATATATTTCTTTAATTGTATATATTTCAGGTTGTACAGACTTTAAAACAAATGAGAGACCAGAACTTAAAAACTTCAAAGACTAGATTTACCAATATGGCATATTATAATTTGAAAAATGCTTGCATAAGTGACGAATTACAACTCTTATCTTAATGAAAAAAACAATGCTATAATGTATTTTGCCTCCCAAATTCCAGGAGCAAAAAGATGGTCCTTTTTTGCTTTAAAGTCTTATGATTAAAAACAACAATCAGTTCGAGTATTGAAATAGTTCCCTTAGTGCTACGTATACAGTTGATCAACTAAACTACGTATGAATGCCTACGTATGTAGTTATCTACATAGATAGATCATATGTGATCATACAGTGGTAAGGCCTAAACACATCCCACTGAAGAGGATTTTTAGATTTTAAATGTCTTGGTTTTGATTGAGTCTGAAAGTCTAGACTCTATGACAAGAGTTGCAGAATTATTTTGTGTATGTTTTTCTGGGAGGTTTCTATGGCTTTTATTAGACACCCAAAGGTGCTGATGACCCCCAAACCACTAATAACCATGACCCCAGGACAGGGTAATAAGCACTCACATTCAAGGGTATCTGACATACAGAATGAATTTAATAAACATTGTTGAATGGATCTTGAATGAATATCCTTTTTCTAGAGTATCATTAAACTTTTCAGTGCTGTCATCAGAGCTAAGTGTTGACTAGAAATCAGAAAAAAAGGGGAGAAAAATGACAAATCAAGACTGAGTGATTACTATATGCAGGACAACGGTGCAGGTGGTGGGAATTTTTTTTAAGGTAATTTCTGTTTTTAAGGAACTTATGATCTAATTAGAATGATAAAAACACACAAAATGATGTAAGAACATTAGCAAAAGGGAAAAAGGTAGTCAGTGTATTATAAAATGTATACTAGAACTACTGACGATGAAAAGCCTTTCCTAGGTTTGAAGGATCTTTGACATATATAGCGTTTAATTTTGCCATCTATAATCAGGAAAAGACCAGAAGTATAAAGGGTAGCGAGAGGTGGAATAGAAGGGGTTGGAATAAATACTCTTTTTACGGTCTTTGGTGATTGGGAAGACGGTACCAAGGGAAACACAAAATAATCCAGTGGTTCTTGAAGGGCAATTGTTCTTGACGCTCTTCCTCCTTATTGCTAGTGTATCTTTTGGAGGGGCACGGTGGGGGGCCAGGGGGATGCTGACTTGACCAGAGCATAGGGAAATCACTCCTCCAGTGCTCTGAAACCATTAAATATCTTTAAGCAGGTACTACCCAAGGTCTTTCACCCAAAGGCAAATGCACTGAAAAATTCTAGTTCACATTCAGAAACATGCCCAATCAACAGGAATATTTGGAAGCATAACTTGGTACACCTCCAGGCCACTGCTGTTGGCACTTTTCCTCTATGAGGTTTCTGAGGAGTCCGAGTAGAAGGCCAAGCCCAACTAGCATCTATATCCTTTCCCCATTTTGATATCATGAGCTTTCGTAAAGTGAGGCAGAACTGTAGCAACATATTTTGCTTACTGGTCTTATTTCCTTCATATAGAAAAATATGTAGGAGATACATGACGAAACCAACGTTGGAGAAGACAGTCCAGGAGTTCAGCCCAACCACAGTGGTATTTGTTGCTTTTTCATTCTTCACTTCAAACTTAAAGTACATAAAATACTATAATTTAAGAAGTATCGGGGACTTCCCTGGTGGTCCAGTGGTGAAGAATCCACCTTCCAGTTCAGGGGACGCGGGTTCGATCCCTGGTCGGGGAACTAAGATCCCACATGCTGCAGGGCAACTAAGCCCGCACACCACAACTACTGAGCTCGCACACCTCAACAAGAGAGCCCGCGTGCCGCAAAGTACAGAGCCCATGTGCCCTGGAGCCTGCACGCCACAACTAGAGAGAGAAAACCCACACCGCAACAAAAGATCCCGCATGCCACAGCTAAGACCTGATGCAGCCAAAACATAATAAAGACAATTAAAAATATATATATCATTTCTTGGATCTTCTCCTCTAATTCCACTGCTAACACTTTCAGATTAAGGGTAATTCATGGACCAACTACTGCATACAGTAAATGGGTTCAACTTCCAACTCTGTCACCATGGGTGAAGTCGGATAAGTTATTCTTATAACTTAGTTATTATAACTAACCTCTTGTAACTTAGAGGTTAGCTATTCCTCTCTAACCTAAATTTCCTTATTTGTGAAAAGGAGTGAATAATAAGGTTTTCGTGAGCTATAAATGAGATATTGCAAGGAAGGATATTGCACGGCATTTTGTAAGGGCTCAATAAATATATGCCATTATTCTTATCGCTTTCATTAGTCTCCCTGTGTACAGTATCACTGTAAAATTCACCTCCCACTTTGCTGCCACATAATTATTCTGAACTCACCTCTGATTCTGTCCGTCTCTTGTCAAAACTCTTCAATGGATTCCATGCAACGGCATCATCTTATCTTCTGGCCGTGAATGTGTGGCCATTCTCTATCTAGCCTTAACAAACCTGCCACCAGCCTGTCTCCCAAGAGGCCCCTTAATAACAGATGAAACTTCTTCCCCTTCCCTAACATACCCTTCTCTTTTCAGCTTGGTAGCTTTGTTCCTGGTATTCCCTCTGTGTTGAATGCCTTCCCCATGTACATCCATATAAGTCGCTGATCCTCCAAGCTAGCTTGGATGCCACCTTCTCCACAAAGCTTTCTCTCATCCCTCTAGCAAAGTGAGTTCTCCCTCTGGATGCCTGAAATACTTGTTTTCTTTTACCTTGAAAAAAATGTTATTTAGGTTCACATTACCTCCCAACCCAAAATACAAGTCCTTTAAAAACCAAGGTTTGAATCAGTTTTATTTTATATCCGCATGGCCCCTAGTACAGGGCCACACTCACAACAGATACTTGAAAAACATTTATGGAATGAGTAATCAAATACTCATAATAAAGTAGACAGTAAGAACAGAAGAGGGTAAAATAAAGCACTGAGGGAGTCCAGCGGAGGAAGAGGTTATCTTAGCTAACTTTGCATTTGAAGTCTTTAAGGATGTTAGAACTCTGCTAGGCAGAGATGATGGAAATCAGAAATCGAGGCCCAGAGAGCAACGTGAATGTAAGATGGAGGGGAAAAAGCACAAAGATTAAAGAACAGTTCGTACGGCCAAAATTTAGGAGTTGCAAAGGGTAGTAGATTATTAGGACTGAAAGATCAGATTATGGAGGGCCCTGAAGGAATTCCTGAGGAAACTGCACTTAAGGCTAGAGGCCATAGGAAGCCATGGGAGGTTGAGGAGGGAAATTATATAGTTATATATGTGCTTTAGAAAAACTACTCCATCAGGTGGGCGTAAGATAGAACTAGGGGTGGGAGAACAATTTTTGCAATAGTTAGGAAAACAGCCACAGTGTCTTGAACTATGGTGGTGACATATAATGGCAAGAATGTAAAGGTGGGACTTCCCTGCTGGTGCAGTGGTTAAGAATCCGCCTGCCATTTCAGGGGACACAGGTTCGAGCCCTGGTCCAGGAAGATCCCACGTGCCGTGGAGCAACTAAACCCATGTGCCACAACTACTGAGCCTGCGCTATAGAGCCCACACACCACAGCTACTGAAGCCCGCGTGCCTACAGCCCGTGCTCTGCAGCAAAGAGAAGCCACTGCAATGAGAAGCCCGCACACCGCGACGAAGAGTAGCCCCCGCTCGCCGCAACTAGAGAAAGCCTGCACGCAGCAACAAAGACCCAACAAAACCAAAAATAAATAAATTTATTTATTAAAAAAAAAAAAGAATGTAAAGGTAAAAGAGAATAAAAGAGGACAGGGTGGAAAGAGAACTACAATGGAGCAATGGAGAAGGAGTGGGGTTCTGAACCTGGCCTACATGGAGACAATTCAGGTCCATAAACTTGGATGGAAAAGTAGAACATCTCTTTTCACTAACCTCTAAGTGAAATGTAGCATGCCTTCAATTATGAATACAGCAATGAACCATAGCAGCATTAGGCTTCATCAGATTGACAAAGGGGTCCATGGCATAAAAAAGAATTTCTGTGCTCCAAAGTGACGAAATCTTTAGGAGAGCCTTTACCAGAGATAAAGATTAGAACTGAATAAGAAAATTCCGAAACAGAAAGATTGAAAAGAAAGAAAACAGAGGAAGAGAGGAAGGAAGGAAGGAAGGCACGCAGGCAGGCCCTGTGTGGGGACTGAGAGAAGGAAGGACAATAAAGATGGATAAAATTATGTTTGAATTTGGACATGCTGAGTTTCAGGCGTCAGCCCACACTTACCTTACACAAGGACATCCCTTTTCTTGAGCCCAGTAGCCTCCAGCTGCAGGGAAACCTAATCGCCTCTATATAGTAGGAATCTTCATTTCCTATTCTGTTCATCCTCCCATCTTGTGGGAATGAAAACAGTCCAAGGGTGACCAAATGTCCTGGTTTGCCTGGGACAGAGGCGCTTTCTAGGACATGGGCCTTTGATGCTAAAACCAGGAAAGACCAAGGCAAACTGATGTGCTAGTCACCCTAAGGGCCCTCAAATCTGGCCTGCATGCAAATAAGGCTACAATAATACTATGCCTTCAATTAAGAAAAAAACTATGCTATTTAAGGTTTACTTTAGATCTGAGTTTGTCAATCTGTTCACCCCACAAAGCAGAAAATACTGAAGGAAAATCTTCCTCTCACAGTGTCAGACAGTTATTGGCACTCAATAAATGCTTTAGTAACTGAATATCATTATGTCAATAGTTCTACAATTTACATAGTGCTGGCACATTCCCATCTCATGCAATCGTCACAAGGACTGGGAAACAGACTTGATTCTCTTCATACTACAGAAGAAACCAAGACTCTGGAAGATGTAGTCCTTTGCTCTACCTCACACAGCAAGCCAAGTGGCGGACTCCCAGCACTGCAGCTGACAAAGAACACTGAATTACTGCGTGTTCCACAAAGGCACGAGTGGTTGTTGCTATATGGCGATTATGCAAAGCTGCAACTGTCTTTCTTTTGCAATATCCATGAACTCAGTGCTCTGGTATTATATTGATACACAGTAAAATGGAGTGTAAGTTTTAGGCAGAAAGCACCCTAAGGTAAAGTGATGGTTTGCCTATGGGAAAAGGCATAAAAAGCCAATGATTAAATGTTCGAACTCGGTATGATGAGGTAAGAGAAGCAGTAACTTACACATCGAATTGTATGGCCAATGGTTCCAAAACTATGCTCCCGTATGCAGCCTCTAATTACAAAACCCATACAAGGCAGTGACTGCGCCTGTATTAGTCAATATAGGAATCAATACAAGACCCTCGTGTGCCTGTAATGATCAGTCCAGGAACCTTGGACCGGGATGGGAATGGTGAAAGCCAGGATACATAAACTTGGATAGTTAATACTAAGGCTTCATTCAAGGGAGAGGCCTGGCCTTGCTTGGTTTATTGGCCCCCGTAACTCACCAACTACCTCTCCCTGTAGCCATGGCAACACCCACACCAAGGCAGCTCCAGAATTCACCTTTGGATACCCACACTGCACCGAATTTGCACCTACGCAGCTCAAATAAAACCAACAGAGACATCCCTCCCGCTAAACCAAGACAACCATGGCCTTTCTCGTTTCTCCAGCTCTAATTCACCCAGGGAACATAGTCTTTCTTTTCACCCATATCCACTGAAGAGAGTCCTGGACAACGACCACTTCTGCTGCAGTAAAAGATAAGAAGAGGGTTTTTCTCTTTTTTGCGGGTGTGGATATCAGAGACGAATGAAAGCCGGATGCGCGCGCGCGCGCGCGCGAGCACACACACACACACACACACACACACACACACACACACAGAATAGTTGCCTAAAAAGGCAACTAAACTGATAAGATCAAAATAATTTTCAGCCAACATCTCGTAGCATGTCTGTCAGGCAAGCTCCGTTTTGCTCCTGCAGGCCACTGTCCCTGCAGCCGGTAAATAGTTTCCAAGACGGCTACTGGACTTACAGCTCTAAAACACAAAAAACGCATTCCCTGCAGGCGCACAGCATGAGCAAGAACCATGACGTATTCGGGAGAGCTTTCCAGAACTGCTTTCCAGCCCGAGCAAGATGCCCAGGAAGCAAATCTCCCTTTTGCTTCTAGAAATGGAGAGGAATCAAATCACACTCCCCGCGCTCGCCGAGAGAACGCAGACCCAGCGGTTTTCGGGAAGCGGCGGCTAAACGTCCTGTCAGACCCCCTCCTTCCTGGATGGCCACTCGGCCCTGAGCCGGGAGCCCGCGAATTCTACCCCCTCCACCTCCCTGGCACCTGAGCAAAACCGAAACAACCCACCGCAATGGAAAAAAGGAAAAGAACCCCCCTCCACAAAACTTCTGTCGCAAAGCGTTTTTCTACTGGCCCAAGAGCGCCCTGAAAAACCCCTTTGCGTCTGGGACGTCCCGGCTGCCACTAGTAAAGATGGCGGCCATAGGCGGAGCCGCTCCCTCCCGAAGGCGGCCGGCTGCCCCTCCAGCCATGGGCATTCACGCCCACTGCGGCTTGACGCATTGCAGGTGCGGCGCGGCCAATCAGGCGCCTCGACTCTTTCCGGCCAACTACTGCAGGGTCGCGCTGGCCAATCAGAGCATCCTTGTCAAACTGAACGAGGAAAGCAGCCTCGGCAGCGCCAACTAAACAACCGGCCCCAGAGCAGCGCGTTTTGGGGCGTGGAAAGCAAGAGCTGCTGTGTGCTCCTCCGCCGGGAGATATAGTGCCCTCGGCCCGCGCCCCGCCCCGCCTGCCCGCGCGCGCTTGAAAAGCTTAGGCTTGAGGCTCGCGTATTCTCTTCCCCTCGGAGGGACGGGAAGCAAGGAGTTGTTTTAAGAACAATGCTGAGTTCCTTTGCCGTAGCACGTGGCACTCCGGGGGGCGATCTCAAACCACTCTCGCCCTGCCTCCTGGCTTGTTGAGGCCGCGCTCGTTACGGTTCATCCGGCACGTTGTGAGAAACAGTTGCCACTGGTGAAATAAGAAAAACCTCCCCTTATCTCCAAAACCTGACTCGATCCGCCTCCGAGACGACCCTTCCTGTTTACGAGCGGAGGCCCAGCCGCCCGACAAGCATCCTTGTGGGCACTTTTGTTTCAGAAGGGCCCTTTTCCATTTCCCTCCTGTGGTCCCGCGGGCTCGGGTTTTCCGCCGCGGCCGAGCAGGAGAGGCCTGAGGGGGACGTGCCAGGAGCCGGCCTGGGGGCTACGGGACAGACGAGGGTAACTTAACAGGCAGTGAGCTGAGAGCCAATGGTTAGCTCCTGGGTAGACCGACGGGGAGCTTCTTGTGTCCTGAGGAAAGACTCTCCTAGATGGAGGAGAAGACTTAGTGAAATAACCTGTCAAACGTGCCAGATCTGGTACCATAGTCTGCCTAGTGTGTAGTCTGTCTGGGTTTCTCTAATCCCTCACTGTACAGCGAAACAGTCTGAGATCCAGGAGGGTCAATGGACCCTCCTGCAGTCACACAGCAACTGAGGAGCAGAGCACAGAACAGAATCTAGGTTGTCTGTCTCCCAAGCCCGTGTTTTTCTGCTATAGTAACACCTCATCTTCTGGAGCTGATGCTGTAGTGAGAGATGGCTCAAGCATTTGGGGAGCTTTATTGTATAATTGAAGGAAGGTATAGGAATTAAGGGAACTAAGTTGTCTCTGAACATAATTTTCCATTAGTGTCCTACAGAGAAAGTTAGCAGAGAAGAAATGTTACTTGGTTATTCTCACTCCCGTAAGAACCTAGCTAAGAAAATGAAATCCTCTGGGTTTCTTAGAACTGCCATTTCATTTAAATGTGATTTTATCCTCTCTGATTTTGACACAATATGACTTGGATGATGTAATGATTTTTGTGATTGAACTACTGTATATTCCTGTTTCCAAGATTATGCTATTAATGGTCTTTCCTGAGGTTTTACAACTTGTGTGTCTGCTCTGTACCCGTGTAAAAGTTGTTCTCTGATCTAAGGCTATAGTTGCCAGCTGCTGTTTATTGCTGCTTCTTAGACTTTTACTCAAAGCCTTGATCAAAAAGGAGAAAAGCTGTGGTTTTCTTTTTTTTTTGAAGATGTTGGGGGTAGGAGTTTATTAATTTATTTTTGCTGTGTTGGGTCTTCGTTTCTGTGCGAGGGCTTTCTCTAGTTGTGGCAAGCGGGGGCCACTCACTACTGTGGCCTCTCTTGTTGCAGAGCACAGGCTCCAGACACGCAGGCTCACTAGTTGTGGCTCACGGGCCTAGTTGCTCCACGGCATGTGGGATCCTCCCAGACCAGGGCTCGCACCCGTGTCCCCTGCATTAGCAGGCAGATTCTCAACCACTGCGCCACCAGGGAAGCCCTGTGGTTTTCTTTCTGTAGGCGGCTAGTAGTCATCTCTAAAGGTGTTTACCAAATGAGCAAATATCTGAACTTCCAAATGAGCAACTCATTATAAAAATACCTACTCAAAGAAACAGTACATCATATTTCTTTTGCAATGTGTATGGTATAGGAAATATGTACCATGACTTCTTGGTGTCAAGTCAGATCATAATGTGAGATAAGAGCTCTGGCTGTGCCATTAACAAATTGGAAATTCTTGGCTAAGCCCCTCTGTTCCCTGGACCTCAGTTTTCTATTCTGTCGAATGAGAGGATTGAATTAGATGATTTCCAGACTTCCTTTCAGCTCTAATACTTGATTCTGCTGCAAAGAAGTTAGACCATAACATAGCTGTGTCGTTATATTTAGGCTTACCTGCTTCTGCATGTAGTGCTTTAAGCTTTTTTTTTTTTTGCGGTACGCAGGCCTCTCACTGTCGTGGCCTCTCCCGTTGCGGAGCACAGGCTCCGGACGCGCAGGCTCAGCGGCCATGGCTCACCGGACCAGCCGCTCTGCGGCACGTGGGATCTTCCCGGACCGGGGCACGAACCCGCGTGCCCTGCATCGGCAGGCGGACTCTCAACCACTGCGCCACCAGGGAAGCCCTGCTTTAAGCTTTTAAAGTCACTCTTACATTTATTTTCATGCTGGAGGGAGAGTCCCCATTTACCAAGAAGTTAGGTTTACTGTAAAGTGTATCCCAGGTTTATCTTAATGTGAATCAGTGTGCCACAAAATATTCCTCTGAGTTTACTTCAGTCCTCGTACATACCAAACCTGCTACTTTTGGTGGTCAGAAAAGTAGTTCACTAAATTGTGAGCTCCTCAAGGACGGGGCCTATCAAATTTATCTTCATATTCACAGTGTTTAGTGAATTTCATTTCCATGAGCTCAATAAAAGTTTATTGAAGGAATGAATGAACAATAATTAGGACAGAGGTAGAAAGAAGAACCTGGATGTGAAGGGGTCTTTTGAGTTTCAAGAAAATCAATCAACCAATACTTATGGAGAGTCTACAGTGTAGAAGGTATAGTTTCTTTTTTCAACACCACAATTTTTTTTTCCATTTGAATTGTCTTCACTTTTTATTTTTAAATTAAGGAAATATCGTCATTATGGGACATTAATCTTTTGAAATAGCAGGGCTTATCTCCAAGCTTTCCTTTATATGTATTCTATCATGTTCTTTGAAGAATATAAATATTTAGAAGAAAATGTTTTTTTAAAAAATTTGACACTCAAAATTGCTCACTTTCCCCTTTTATTGTTGCTTTTCTGGTCTTTTTAAAGAGATCATGTCCTCTTCCCAGCTTTTGATCATTTTTGGCTCTTTTTGGAAATAAATGTCCAGGATTGATCTGTCAGTGGGAGTAGGCATGGCCTAGTCTGTTCTAAGTATTTTCACTGAGTATCATTCAACAAAGTAGGAACTCTATAATGATCTGAATTTTTACCATTTATAAAAAGATGTAACTCTTGAGTCAAGTCCCCTATGACCTTAGCTCTATTTACATTCACATCTCCAGGGGTCTCCTAGTTACTAGGGAATTCTGCACAAGTTCCTCACAAATTTCACAAGCAAAATATTTAGAATCATAAAATTCTAAATCAGGGAGGCACCAGAGAAAGTCCATCTGGGTCCCCTTTCCCATTTTTCAGATAAGAAAACTAAGTTCCAAGAAGTACAAGTTCAGGACAGAGCCGCCTTTAGGGTCTTACTAGACTGATCTTTCCTTTGACCTTTGAAAACATTTTAATGAAAGATTAATCATATTAAGGGGATCAGAGGAATGTTATCATTTACAAGGCCTCCGAGTGACTGTGGAAAATCTCTAGATGACTTTGCTTTGGACTTTGTGATTCCATTTAGGGATTGGCTGTCCTGAATTGTTCCCTGTGCTAGGCCTTATCTATACAGCTTGTTTAAAATCTTTGACCTCCGTTTAAATTGCTGACACTTTCCTGTTGTTAAGCCTTATCATAGTTTCTTTACTTACGTCTTCTTCAGGCTAGCAGTGGTTCCCTTTCTTATTCCCAAAAGAGCTCAGAGAAGCTAATTTTTAAAAAGAATTTTTTTAACTGAAGTGTAGTTTATTTACAATGTAGTGCAAAGAAGCTAATTAAAAAAAAAATTTATTTATGTATTTGGCCGCGCCAGGTCACTGCCGCGTGCAGGATCTTCATTGTGGCATGCAGGATCTTTTACTTGCAGCATGCAGGCTCTTAGTTGCGGCGTGCGGGATCTAGTTCCCTGACCAGGGATTGAACCCGGGCCCCCTGCATTGGGAGTGTGGAATCTTAACAGCTGGACCACCAGGGAAATCCCAAAGAAGCTAATTTTTTGAGATGAGTAACAAACAAATGAAAGGGTAAGTAGTTATACAATTATAATTTTTTCATATCATTCCAAAGTATTTTTTAGGGTATTGCAACATGCTAATAAAGAATAATCATGGATATATCTTCATTTCTCACTGTCCAACTTTTAGGCTGGTTCCTAAAAATTTGGTTCTTTTCTTCAGCTGATTAAAACAGGTATGAATGGACTTGTTCAGAGTATGGTGCTCTTTCACAGAAAGAAAAACTTGTTCCATGACTTTTGCAGCACCTAACCCCCAACCCAGCTGGCTACCTAGCAAATGTTACAAGCAGCAGCGTTTAGAAAGTAAAAATGGCTTGGTGGCAGCCTGTGGTATCACCATACAAAGCACAGGTTGAAATGCATGCTCTAGTCTCAAAGTACCCCAAAATACAAAGTTCCCACAGGTGTATACAAAGTCCTGAACGGCTCTGTTCCGTTCTCAACCTTTCTTTAGGATTTGAAAGTCAGAAATACCTCTATTAGAATCACTACGTCAATAGGCCATTTAAAACATGGCTTCTATATTTTGCTGCTATTCGGTTTTGAGGTCATTTCCTAGGTTTCAAACGTTGTGTGAAACAGGTGCAACTAGGAAACTTTGTGTGGCAGAGAAGAGCTAGAGCAGTGAAACGTGAAACTATAAATCAGTTCTCTGAGTCACAAATCTCTTCGGCTGCTCTAGAAGACAGTGATGACTCAGCAGCATTCCACTGGCATGGTGGAGGGAATGAGTCTGCGAGGGCTTGTTGCCCTGGGCACCAGCCTGTTGGGGGCGTGGAAAGATGGGAGACCTTGGATCTTCCCACTGCTGAACTGTTAGACTGCTTCAGATTCCCTGACTGTTCTGAATTGCCTTCTATCTGACCTTTGCCATGTTTAGCTGATTGATGTTTTAGATATTACAAACAACCACAACTTGTAT